CCCTCTCCTGCCGGCTGCTGCTGGGCCTGGAGGTGCTGCTGCCCGAGCAGCTGCTCCTGCTGCCAGGATGGGACACTGGGAAGCCAAGGCCCTGCTGCCAGGAACGCCACTTTCCCAGCCCGGTGAGTGCCCCCCTCCTGGGCTGCTATTGACACTGGGGACATCTTCCCTTTCTGAGCCCCCTCCTGCCTGGATGGGGAAGGAGCTCCAGTGCTTTTGGCTTTCAGTGCAGCCACGGGGGAGAGGTGGAGGGTAGGAGAGGGGAGGGAACAGCCTCAGAGCAGCAGCTCCTGCCCCGGGCAGCTCTGTGGGACCCGCTCTGCCTGCAGGCAGGGCGGGGGACACAGCAGGAGAACAAGCCTCATTGCACAGCCCTGGGGGCAGCTCAGGGGGCAGAGTCTGCATCCCTGAACAGTACTGGCAGAGGAGACCAGTGTCCCAGCCCCCCCAGGCCCTCCCAAGACCCCTCCCCAAGCAAGGGCAGCACTTACGCGTGGGGACAGATGTACTTCACGTAGGGGAGGCGGATGGAGGAGAGAGCGTCAGCCCAGCTGTGCCTGGGGAGAGAGGAGCAGGGGAGGGAGTCCAAGGCCTCCCCAGCACTTTGGAGGATGCTGGCAAAGGATTTCCCTCAGGGTCTTCCCCAAGGCTCCTGCCCCGAGGTTATTTTGCCAGGTCCTGCCCACCCCAGCAGCCTGAATCCCAATGGAATTGACAGGTTGGCTGGAGGCAGGGGAGCTGCCAGCAGGGGGGAGGAGGGGGAGTGTCCTGTGATCCTGTGCATGGAGGCACTTCTTGTTCCTGCTGGATCTCACACTGCCCTCTAAGGTGGCCTTGGACAGGGAGAGATGCACTTGTGTAGACACAACTCAGCTCCCAGGGACTGGGAAAAACCACAGTGCTTATCTGCTTGTCTTAAAGAAAGCAGAACATCCAAACCCAGGGGAGGCAGGGGCTGCCAGGGATCATAAATACTGAAGTGCAGGCAGCTGCTGGCTGGAGATTCCCTGCCAGCCACAGCCACCAGGCCTGGCTCAAAAACCTGGACAAACCT